TAAACCGGAACACATATTAATTACACCGGTTCTGAGGCTGATTTCATGCAGATAAGGTACTAAGTGGGTTCAATCACCACCTTGGGGCTCTTTTACATGGGCGTTCCATATGTCTGTTTATGGATGAAAAATAGACACCCATGTATTTCTATGGAATAGCGGATTTAAATGGATGATCATTAATTTCCGCATCCGTGAACATCTTTTTTTATTATATATATTTTTTTATTTATATATATATATATATATATATATATATATATATATATATATATATATATATATATATATATATATAATAATTTATTTTTTTTTTTATTTTATATCTTTTTATGGAAGAAAACCCTATTTTTCTTCCATAACAAAAACCGGATGTAAATGGACATACTGTCCATTTTTGCATTGATGAAGGATGTAAAAACTAGCGAGAATTTGAAAAAAGATGGATGTAAACTGAATATAAAAACAGAGGTAAAAAGTGAAGTCTTGATCCATTTTAGCTCAGATTTTGAAAACAAACCCCCAAAAACACAACTCATGAAAAAAACGGAACGCCCGTGTTAAAGAGCCCTTAATCAGCCACAGACCCTGTGTAATTAATTTGCTCGGGTTTAAAGGGATGAGGTGGCAACCCTAGTCCAGGGATCCAGCGCCGTCCTCACCTTGGCCAGTTCTTCGCTGTTCTTCGGATCCCTGGTGCTACCATGTCGTGTGGGCTCCTTGAAGCCCCACATTCACCTTCCCACTGTGCATGTGTAAGCCAAGCGAAGTGGGAGGGAGTACCTATCAAAACTAGGTACCTGTGACCCCCCCCCCCCCCCCCCCCAAAAAAAAAGTACCCAAATGTTAGAGGGGGCAGGCAGAAAAGCAAAACTTCTCCTTTTGGGTGATGTTTCACGCTAAAGCTACACTGATGATTACCCAAAATCTCACTGAACACATCTGAACCACCCAAAAAAAAAATCCTATATTGCAATTCAGATGGGATGACTGCGTTAGTTTTTTTTTTTTTTTTTTTTTTTTTTTTTTTTAAGGATTTTTTTTAACCTGGTGATCCTGTGAATAGCATACTTCCTCTCTTATGTCAAATCCGGGACAGTTGGCAAGTATGATGTAATGCAACATTATCATGGGGCCCCTGGGTAGAGCCCAGGGTTGCCCATGCATTTAGACAGCCCTGATCTATGAAGGGAACGATGGTTGTCACAGAAGCTGGACTCTGCCTTCATTCATTTCCATTACGTGATGGAGTGATAGGGACTAGTCAGGAGCGGACTGACCACTCATGGGGCCCTCGGGCAATAGGGGATCATGGGGCCCCGTGTCCTTTCCCACACTCAAAAAAGCCTATAAAAAAGGTACCAGGGGCATTTCATGGGGCCCCCTACTGACCCCAGGCCCTCGGGCAGTGCTCGAATGGTCAATCCGCCCCTGGGACTAGTAGTTTTATACAATAGAGATCAGATTCTTGGTGCTTTCCTTTGAACTCACAGGAAGTTACTAGGACACTGCATTTCTGGCAGGACCAACAGGTATTTTCTGCACTTGCTGAAAATGGTCCTAACCTGAAAAGTGAAAACTAATGCAGCCACCACATCTAAGGATTGGTAAGCTGCAATATCACTTCCAAGCATTGGATATAGTAGGGAAAGGTTGGAGCGGAGAATGTAGAAAAGAAATGGAAAGGAGACATGGTGCATATTATAGGTGAGTATTATACTTCTTATATTGCAGGCAGCTTTCTTTAAAGTGTGTGGTCAGCCAAAATCATTTATCATTTTCTTCTACATTTGGATAGACTGGAGAAGGATAGGAACTCATGTAAGGCTTTTATTGCTATCCGCGACTCCCATTAGAGAGATTTCCCTCACTTCCTGTCCTTCTGACAACATTGTACAAGACAGGAAGTGAGGGAAAAATTCCAACAGCAGCACAGACAGAATAAAATGCTTTCGTAGAGTCGGGGAAGGCTAGAACTCCAGTCAGATTTTTATTGCTGTATGTATCCCTGTTTAAATTTTCCTATAATTCCTATCTGCTGAAAATGCTGTCATCAGGACAGGAAGTAAGGGGAAATCTCTCTAACGGAGACCCAGAAAGCAGTGAAAACTCCATCAGGGGTTCTTTTCCTTTCCCACTGATACAAAACTAGGAGCAAAAAAAGCTTTTGGTTGGGTATGTACTATAAGGGCTTGTTCACATCAGGTTCGGTGTGGGAAAGTGTACATAATGTCTTTTCCCACACTGCAAAATAAAAGGCGTATGCATGGGTGCCATTAATTCCTAATGGCTTTCCACTCCTCTATAAAATATTCACGCCTGCCTAGACGATACCACAGTACCTTGCATTTTGGTGCGGCATGATTTAAAAAAAAAAAACAAAAGGCACCTTTTTGGGTGCATTTCACACACATAGGGCAGCCCACTAACCTCCAGATATGATGTGCTGAAATGCACAATAAAATGCGCAAACTCAGATGCACCTCCTGGTGTGACCGAGTCCTAAACCGCTTGCTTACACTAGCAGTATCCCTCTGAAAAGTAATCTGGAATGAGGGCATGTGACAGGCGGTGAAAAGTCACTACTGATTCACAACGCCTGCATTGCGCATGATCACAGCGGATGTCGCAAAACTTGATTGTGTTGTGTTCAGCGGGCGAATGTAACGGGAACATTTTTGTGAAGCATCTTGTTCGTGGCATGCCTATACCCCCATACAGCTTCCTTTACAGCATGGGGGCAGTAAAAAGAGTCCAGCCGACTTTTTACCACCCGTAAGCATGAACTAGGCCTAATGGAAGTTGCCTGAAGTAGAAAAAGTATTGTACGCGCCCCTCCAGTGCTCCATGTCTCCTACCTCCCCTCCATTCCTGTGCTGCAGCTTCCATCAGACTTTTCTACATTCGACATTCCAGGTATTGCTGGATTTCCTAGCTGAGTAATTGCCTTTTACATAACCAAGCAGGTATGTACAGTTGTGTCCAAAATTATTCAACCCCCACTGAAATTGAGTGTTTTGGCCAGTTTGACATTGCTTTTGATCATTCAGTCATCTGCTTACATTTACATTAAAGAGGCACTTGTAGGTCAGACAAATATATCTAACAGTTATAATGAAATAACCACAAATGTCTTTTCTGTGCTCACAGCATTATCAGTTTTATTCAACCCCCAAGTGACATTCAATCTTAGTACTTAGTACAGCATCCTTTTACAGTTATAACAGCTTTTTAAACGTGAAGCATAGCTTGACACAAGTGTCTTGCAGCGATCTACGGGTATCTTCGCCCATTCTTCCATGGGCAAAGGCCTCCAGTTCAGTCACATTCTTAGGCTTGCGCACTGCAACTGCTTTCTTTAAGTCCCACCAGAGGTTCTCAATCGGATTTAAGTCTGGTGACTGCGATGGCCACTCCAAAATGTTCCAGCCTTTCCTCTGCAAACCATGCTCTAGTGGACTTGGAGGTATGCTTGGGATCATTGTCCTGTTGAAAGGTCCAACGTCTCCCAAGCCTCAGGTGTGTGACGGACTGCATCACGTTTCCATCCCAATATCTCCTGGTACTGAAGAGAATTCATGGTACCTTGCACACGCTGAAGCTTCCCTGTACCTGCAGAAGCAAAACAGCCCCAAAGCATGATTGACCCTCCACCATGCTTCACAGTAGGGCAAGGTGTTCTTTTTCATCATAGGCCTTGTTCTTCCTCCTCCAAACATAGCGTTGATCCATGGGCCCAAACAGTTCTAATTTTGTTTCATCAGTCCACAGAACACTATCCCACAACTTTTGTGGTTTGTCCCACATGGCTTTTGGCTACTGCAGTCGACTCTTCTTATTCTTTGGAGACAGCAAGGGGGTACGCCTGGGGAGTTCTGGCACGGAGGCCTTCATTACGCAGTGTGCGTCTTATTGTCTGGGCTGAAACTTCTGTACCCACATCTGACAAATCTTTTCTCAGTTCCTCAGCAGTCACACGGGGACTTCTCTCCACTCTACGCTTCAGGTAGCGCACAGCAGTCGAAGTCAGCATCTTCTTTCTGCCACGACCAGGTAGCGTTTCAACAGTGCCCTTTGCCTTGAATTTGCGAATGATGCTTCCTAAGGTGTTCTCTTGTATGTTTTAACATCTTTGCAATCTTTTATAGCCATTGCCCTTTCTGTGAAGAGAAATCACCTCTTCTCTTGTCTTCCTGGACCATTCTCTTGCCTTCACCATGTTTGTAACCACACCAGTAAATGTCTAGAAGGAGCTGAGTATCACAGTCATTTTAAAGCTGCCTAATTGGTGCTTATTATGCTTGATTGCTGCTCGGTGACATCCACAGGTGGTTTTCAATACCTGATGGAAAGCACCTGTAATGAACCTCTGTTCTTCAGAGTGGTAGTCTTTAAGGGGTTGAATAATTGTGGCAATGAAGAAACCACATAAGAACCATTTACTACTGTATTACATAAACAATGATGTCATTTTAGTTGCATTTGGGTAGTTACAACGTCCTTGTAGGATTTGATTCTGAATACACAATTCCAAATGTACACTATAGTCCCTAAACCCCTTTACAGCATTGGGGGTTGAATAATTTTGGACACAACTGTAGTAGAAGATCCAGCAATACCTGTTTTCTCTTTATAGGAGAATATCTTGTACGGTAACGTTCATCCTCCCCTCCTCTGTCATCACCTATATTAATGAGGTTTGACGAGCGCAATATTCAACCTACTTTTCCCTTAAAAAGCCGAACTTCAGGAAACTTGAAAATAGGTTCCCTTTCAATGACACTGCTGCCACACTGCAAGTGTTAATTGCTTGTTTAGGTCTAGGGGATTTGTTAAAGTAGATGTACTTACCCAGTCCTCCACACTGCTAGACTGGTTCCCGCAGCTTCCTCTCCTCTACACTCCAGGAGGTCGAAGATCCTGACATCATCAAGACCAATGCAGTGTCCATAGCCTTGAGTTAGACATGATGACGCTGTGGGGCAGTCCACTGCCTGATCATGGGGGAGCACCATCTGCTGGAGAAGCAGAGGATCAGGTGAGTAAAATTGCTTTTACTGTTCAATAGAGCAGGAAACCCTTGCAGGGTGAATGCAGCCCCAGTGCAAGGAAGAATATTTGAGCTACCTGGAGCTTTAAATACCAATATAACATCAAATTGTAGGAGGTTTACACCTTTCCACTATCTATGGGCAGTAAATGCGCTGAAAATGGAATAGCTAACATCCATACAATCGACTAGATCGCATCCATGTGGACACTTTTTGAACAAGATAAAAAGTATTTTCTGGTCCGCTACACTACAGGTGGTGATAGATGTTTTTTATAAGAGGAGAAAGGGTTGGATGGCCGTACTTCCGAAATCTCGCTAACACTAATCAGTGCCGGCACAGATCGCAGCTGTCTTCATGGAGAGGAGAAAGGGTTGGATGGCCGTACTTCCAAAATTTTTATTGTACCGCTTGAGACAGGTCCACTAGATGCACCGCCGCTAACACACTAATCAGGTGTCGGCACAGATTGCAGTTGTCTTCATAGAAGAGGAGAAAGGGTCGGATGGCCACACTTCTGAAATCTTGCTAACACACTAATCAGGTGCCGGCACAGATCGCTGCTGTCTTCACAGAAGAGGAGAAAGGGTCGGATGGCCACACTTCTGAAATCTCCTTTATTGTACCGCTCCAGGCAGTCCACTAGATACACCGCCGCTAAAACACTAATCAGGTGCCGGCACAGATTGCAGTTGTCTTCATAGAAGAGGAGAGAGGGTCGGATGGCCACACTTCTGAAATCTTGCTAACACACTAATCAGGTGCCGGCACAGATCGCTGCTGTCTTCATAGAGGAGAAAGGGTTGGATGGCCACACTTCCAAAATTTTATTGTACCGCTTCAGACAGGTCCACTAGATACACCGCCGCTAACACACTAATCAGGTGTCGGCACAGATTGCAGTTGTCTTCATAGAAGAGGAGAAAGGGTCAGATGGCCGCACTTCTGAAATCGCGCTAGCACACTAATCAGGTGCCGGCATAGATCGCTGCTGTCTTCATAGAGAGGAGAAAGGGTCGGATGGCCGCACTTCTGAAATTGCGCTAGCACACTAATCGGGTGCCGGCACAGATCGCTGCTGTCCTCATAGAGAGGAGAAAGGGTTGGATGGCCACCCTTCCGGAATCTCCTTTATTGTACCGGTCCAGGCAGGTCCACTAGATACACTGCCGCTAACACACTAATCAGGTGCCGGCACAGATCCCAGCTGGAGTTCCTGATTCCTTTATATAGAGTAGATCTTTTGTTAGACCTCATTTAGAATACTGTGCCCAGTTCTGGAGAACTCATTTACAAAGGATATTGATAAGAGAGTCCAGAGACTGGTAACAAAAGTGGTGAAAGGTCTGGGGGATAAAACATATCAAGAGCAACTTCAGGAACTTAACATGTCCAGTCTGGAAGAAAGAAGGGAAAAGGGAGGCATGATTGATTAAACCTTTGAATACACCAAGGGGGTGAATAAGATTCAGGAGGGGCGGGATTATCAACACAAAACCAAAATCAAGAACACGGAGACATGACCTTAATATAACTGGAGGAAAGTTCAAAACTAATCTCAGAAAGTATTATGTTACTGAAAGAGTAGTGGATGCTTGGAATAAACTTCCAGCAGAGGTAGTGAGACAGTCAACAGTAAATGACTTCAAACATAGATTTTGACAAAAGTTTAAAAAGAAAACAAAAAAAACCCCCAACCCCTCCAAAAAGAGGGAAAAAAAGGGTCTTTTTGTGCCGTCACTTTTCTATGTTAAGAGAAGAAAGGGTCGATTGGCTGCACTTCCGAAATCTCCATTATTGTACAAACTCTTCAATAAAATCACAAATTTACCATAATCACAGCAGAGGGAAAATAAAGACGCTAACGCATTTCATGCTTGCTATGAATAAGTGCTAGACAAGCGTGAAACCCGTTCGCTTCTTCTTTCTTCCCTCTGCAATGATTGTTAAATTTTGTAGGGTGTGGGTTTTTTTTTTTTTTTTTTTTATATTGAAGAATTTGTACAATAAAGGTGATTTCAGAAGTGCGGCCAATGGACCCTTTCTTCTCTTTTATGAAGACCGCTGCGAGCTAGGCCAAGACCCAATTAGTGTGTTAGCGGTGGTGCATCTAGTGGACCTGCCTGGAGCGGTGGTGTTTGTGTGTTTTTTTTGTTTTGTTTTTTTGTCCTTTGCATGGCAGATTGTGGTGTCGTGTAAATTTTTTTTTTTTTTTTTGTAGTTTTATATCACCTTAACTGATATTTTAGTTATTTGGCTTTTTTTTTTTTTTTTTTTGCCGCATGTAAAATATTATCCAGGATTTATATAGCGCCAACAGTTTACACAGCACTTTACAACATAAGGGCAGACCGTGCAGTTACAATACAAATTAATACAGGAGGATCCAGAGGGCCTGACTCGTTAGAGCTTACAATATAAGAGGGAGAGAAAATTCTCAATTTTTCTGTGCTTTTACTTCCTTTTTAACTGGGGTCCCGTTAGGAAATCTGTTGAACCTCCTTAGCGGTCTGTCATGTCAGTATTTCTGTGCTCAAAGCGGTACATTTTTTTTTGCATGGAAATATGTATTTTTTTTATTGTAGGCCTGTAATTTTTAGGAATAACTCACTGAAATCTGTCCAAACAAGAGTCTAGTAAACATCCCGGGTATGTTAAAATTTTGAAACCTGAAATCATAAATTATAATTTAATAAATAATCATAAAAAATAATATAATAAATTTAATTCAATAATATAATCAAACCAAAAACACTGAAATTTGAAATATAGCGCCAAGTTCGCACATCACAGAGCAAAGTCGCAAAATTGTTTTTAGTGTCTGATGAGGAATTTCCCCCCACGAATCATTATCACTCAATTCTGCAAGTGGTTCTGATTTACTATCGCTGTTCTCTAGCCGGTCTAAAACCGATTTTGACCTAAAGGGACGCTTTTTGGACGCCATGGACGTTTCTCAGTTTCCAGGCAGAAAGAACAGTAAAAATGCAGGCAGGGCACCGGACAAAGCACTCGGGACAAAATGTATGTGAAATGGTTTGATACAGGAATGTTATACTATGAGATTTTAGTGAATGTCACTTTTTGTCATTTTCAAAATTCCCGCCGTTCCATCCCCGTACGTCCCGACGCTCGCAGGGGACGGAACCCAGAAGACAGATGCCGGCATCCGCCGGATTACATTTGCAGGGGGGACATCGCGGGAGCGCAGGACAAGGTAAGTGATCGAGGGATCGTGGAGCAGCACCGCATGGTATTCCTGAGTGTAGCTCGGGGTTACCGCTTGTGGTACTGAAACTTTACCCCGAGCTACACTCAGGAATACCGCCAGGGGAGTTAAAAGTGTAGTCAGCCATTTGAAACCATGTTTCATGTGACACCCATACTTAGGGTGTCACATGAATAATGTAGCGTTTCCCCCCCCCCCCCCCCCCACACACATACACTTGCGTCATCCATTCTCAGATTCACTTTGGATCTGGGAATGGAAAGACTGCAAGTCCAATCTGCCACCACAGCAGAGGGACATATGGGTGGTGCTGGCACAAGTGCAATGATATTCATGAGAAACAACCTTGGTGTTGGCGAGGAGGGTGTGGAGGGGTGGGCACGATGTACCACATATGGTGGGAATGTTCAAAAATACAAGTTTATTGGAGAGAGGTTATAAATCAAATTCGGATTATTAGTGGAACTGAGATTGGACTGGACCCTAAAATTTGTCTTTTTCATATCACAAAAATATCGGTGAATAAATATAAAGATCTGGGTATTTGGTGCTATCTAAATGCAGCTAAAAGTTTGATACCTAAGTTTTGGCGCAAAGTTGAGGCACCGAGGGAAGATTATTGGATGAATAGAGTGGACTAGATTGGAGAAACTATATCACATGCAGGAAGATAGGATGGAGGCATATTATATGAAATGGGAGGAGTTTAAGGTAAATGTGAAAGAAGCTACTTTATAATTTGAGTATAAAAGGGAAGAAAGAAAAAAGAAAAAAAAAAAAAATAGGAATTTTGTCTTTCTTCCTTTTAAAAATCTGTATCCAGAGGATGTGAGTTATAAGTCGATTAGATAGATGTCGGGTTCATTGAAGAAGGGGTGGGGTGGAGGGTGGGTTGAAGGTAGGGGGTTATGGGGAGAAAATGATATGCAATAAGTGGTTTTAGCAGATATGTTATGTTATATTTCCTTTTTGGATTTTTTTTTTTTTTTTGTATTGCTATATTTGAAAACTGAATAAATATCTAAATTAAAAAAAAAAGTGCAATGATATTGGCACACTTGTATTGCATTGTTCACGTCTTCCAGCCCCGTATTGAAGTCTGTACCTCTGTATGGCACTTGGGCTGAAGTGTGGCTCATACAGCAGCCTGTGCAGTGCATCCCTGATGCAACCGATCAGTTGCAATGCTCTGCAGACTTGAATGTAAATGTAATACATAAATATATGAAAAAATATAATAAATGCATGTTTTTATTCTTTTAATGTGGGAACATTAACCCCTTTATGACAGTGTTGAGCATACATGTGGCAGCAGGACAGGTGACCATCGACGCCCCCAAAACCGTGACCGAGCGGTCACCGACAATTCACAGTCCACCACTGTCGATCAGAAGCCAATAGCTGCAGCTTCTGATGACTTCCTCCACTGTGCAGCCAATTATAGTGCAGCAAGTTCAGGAGCTCCGCCTGCCAGGCGTTACAGCCTATGGCTCCCTCTGATGTAAAGGGGTTCATTTTTTTTTTTTTTTTAAAAAGTTAGGCTATGCCTTTAAAGGTGCATTGTAGGTGATGCTGTCTAGATCGGTGTTTACAAGCAAAGATCAGACAATGGATTTGTATTTATGGCCACTGGTGGCTCTTCAGTGACATTTAAAGCATCGGGGTCTACTGCCAGATCTGTGTGCTGAATCCCGTCCTTCCTGTCAGCAGTTTTCAGGACATTTTTGGCAAGTCTGAACAAAGCCTCCTACAATCGTG